CAGCAGCAGCAGCCAACAACAAAATAAATAAATAAAACTGTTGCTTGGAAAACTACAGGCGAAGAGTTTTCGACTTGTCGAGTTTTATTGTAAAGCAGACGCCGAGCGCGAGTGCGAGTGCCAGTGCCAGTGCTTGTCGCGCTTTTCTATTTTCGCCTCAAGTGCAGAGCCAGTTGCAAAATGAAACGAAATGAAATGAGAAACATCTTCTATATATAAAACACGCGTGTGTGTGTCTTACTTTCTAAAATAAAAATCATACATCTTGCATCGGCAGCCTTGCAGCCTTGCAGCCCAATTTTTTAATGCAGCCTATGTAGTGCAGTGTACAATATGTTGGCCATAAAGGAGTGTCTTATACGCGAAGGCGTGCTCAATTTGGATAGTCCCATCCATAGCGGCTCTCCCGCATCCACGCAGCGACACTTTCAGCTGCAGTCAAGCAAAAGCAGCGGCAATATGGATATGCCACGCTATCGCAGTTAGTATAAACATATATGAACATCTATACTGATATATACAGATAGGTACAGATATGCATATATCTGAAAACATTCCTATCGTACTTAGATACGTTTTGAACATTTGCAATTTGCGAACGCCTACGCCTACACTTTTAGACAGTTGCCCTGTAATTGAGTCTGTGTGTGGACAATATTCATGACAATATTCATGATTGCTTCGATGTGTAAACAAAGAGCGTATTACGATCCCTATGGAAGTGGTGCAACACTTAAGCCCATTAAGTTGCACACTAATTGCGCTTTAAGCTAACCAGCTGTGATAATTTATGTTAAAAGCAATGTTTAAATTAATGTATTGATTTTTTGCTTTGCTAAACAATTTTTTTAAAGGGTATTACTCAGTCGTAGATTGTAATTGTCAATTGTCATTTGTTATATTTATTAATACTCAAATATTACAGCTTGGTTTTTGGTATTTATATCGATTTCCAAACAATAGTTGATTTTCTTATTACAGGGTATTACTCAATCGTAGTTTCTTTCCTTTTCTGTAATATGTAATTTGTTTTCTATTTATACACAAATATATTGTATTTATATAGGGTTTTAGTGCTTATTCAGAGCAATTGTTTATTGCGATTATTGCAGGGTATAAGGTAGTCATATATTGTTTCACTTTTTATGTTCAACTTAAGTCAAATACTGTTTATTAGTCAGTTTTTTAAACATATCAATTTTTCTGCTTATGCAAACAAATAGTTGTCATATTAGAGGGTATTACTCAGTCGTCTCAGGCTGTACCAGTCATTATATCTTGCATTTATATCGGTTTCTCTTTCCTCATAGGATATAAAATAGTTTTCTTATTACAGGATATCGCTCTTATTACAGCATATATCTCTTGTTAGTCTTTGTATTTATATTGATTTCAGTTTTCATAATTTTGTTTTCTTCCTAATAGAGTATTACATAGTCGTATACTGCCTGCTTTACGCTGTGCGTATGCTATATCACTTGTTATTTTTAGACTCTGGCGTCGTCTTCGAGCACTGTCCACTGTTCGGTGTCCACTGTTCACCAGCTATCTCAGCAATTTCCTATATAAATTCTTTGCCATGTTATTGTTTAATAACTGTTAATGATTTCTATAGCCTTTGTTTACCTACTACAAATTGTTATTGTCTCTCGCTCCCTACCCCCATTACAGTCTGGCATATCGGTTGATAAAAAGGGTTCTTAAGTTTAAACTAAGTTGGTCTGTTGTCCACACACCCAGCCGGAGATTGTGTAGTAGTGTTGTAAAACTGTCGGCTTTTATTTAATTTTGATTGTTTTAAGATACCTATTTCACGTTTACAACAACTACAATCGCTTTATAGAAGGGCTTAAGAGCCCAATAAACGCCAAGCCAAAGGCAGACAGCCGATCCAACAAATGTTCCAATCGAAATTCATTTGCAATCCCCATTGAAGTTGTTCTACAATGGAAGTCAGGCAATAAAAAACTTGAGTTGAGTCTTTAAAAATATTTTCTAAATATAAATAATGATTGCCAATTAGCTCATTTATCATTGCTGTCAAACAGAATGGCAACATTTTGTCAGTCATTAAATTCGAAGATATTTCAGATTTTTTCATCATCATCAGTAGAGAAGAAAACATAAATTTAAAACGGGTTTAATAACAAAATTTGTGAATAGCTGTATTATGTTACTATCTTTTTGTGTAAAGTAAAATCCCTCGAATCGAATCAGCAAGAATATATGCTAAAACATAAATGTATTCAATTTGAGAGGAAGTCTACAAAACATTCATAAAATTTGAAAAAGTTATCGATGAACAGGCAGAAAGTCGAACAGCAGTAGATAGACTAAGCCTTTGATGCTGGTAATATATAATTTGACAAGCATAGACCTTGTTTTGGTATAATTACAACTTCTGTATAACTTATACAAAGAGTGAGAGTAAGTTGAAGCGAGTTGAAGTCGGAGATCCTAGCTGCTGAGCCATGTGATATAAGACCATGGACTTAAATTAATAAAAAACAAGCATAAAATGAAAACCTAATTTCTTAAACCCAAGCTACTTAAATGTTATCCATACATAGCTCAGGGTGCATGAGGGTGCTTAAGCGCTTTTAGTGTCATTACATAAAGAATTTAGCACTCTGGTGTTGCACCAAGCACCATCACAGAAGTGTCAGAATTGTATAAAGATAACCCACGTGCCAAGGAGTTGAACATTTTATAGACAATCGATAAGAGATATCGATATGTGAGTGAATGAATTGTTCTTGATAATTAAATTTGTTGCAATGCATTGCATTGGCAAGCGGCATAAAAAACGTGAATGTTATTTTTAGAGTTGGGGAGACAGACAGAGAGCAGAGCGAGCAGAGGCTGTCGCTGTCGATGTGGCTGTGTCTGTGTTGGAGGCACAGTTTCTTGTCTGCCACTTGACGACGTCGACGATGTGATGTGGGCAGTTTGCCCTTGCGTTTAAAAATAAGACTTGCAACTGTAAACAGCGACTGCAAAAGCGACTTTTTTTATACACAGAATCAATTGAAAGTGGACAAAGGCAAGGTATATGGTTTTAATAGTCAAAGGGTGGTCTATTTGTTATTGATCAAGATTGAAAGCTGAATCAATGAAGCTCTAACTGTCGTGTGTATGACAGATTGCAGAACTCAACGTTAAATAGATACAGATACAAATATATAATTAGTTAAAAGCTAGAATAGTTGAAACAACAGCTTGGCACGAGAGTCCGGGTAGCTCTTAGTCGAGCACTCCCGCTCATAGCACTCCAACTTGCTTGTTTATGCAGTATCGATTCCAATTTTTAGTGCCACACAAAGTGCGATGTGAAGTTTTCTCCTGCTGTTTGACAATTTTCGTTATTGAGTCGCATGTGGCAAGTTAGTTTACTCTAAGCTTCGTTGTTTCTCTCCTTCACTTTCCATATTAATTATGCAACGAATGTGGCCGAGGCAAAAGCGAAACAATCGATCAATCAGCTTGCCACATACGATGGGCGGGGGCCAGCAACAACAAGAGGCAGAAGCGTTTGGTAATAGGCAGTCGAAGCCACAAAAATGTTGCACAGCCAATTTGTAGGCTGCCACTCGATTGTGGTTGTTGTGATTGCTGCTGCTGCTGCTGTTGTTGTTGTTGTTGTTGTTGTATGCAGTTTAGTTGCGCGAATCAACTCTCAGTTTTTTTTTTCTCTTTTTTCTGCCAACAATTAGTTAGTCGACTTTTCCGCACAGAAGCGAAACCAAACGTTAACATGCAACACAAAAAAAGTTTGTTTAATAAAACTGAAAACGAAACGGCAAGCTGCCAAGAAATATAGCAAATGCATTTTCTTGTGGACTTTGTTTATTTATTACGATATATATCTTATTTTTTTTAGAATTTGGCAAGCAAATTGCGATGGAGAATTCCGCAGCTGAATTTGCTTTTTGTTTAGGTTTTATACTGATTTCCATGGATTTCGAATAATGCGTAATTTATATGCTACGTAAATTCTAAAGGCTGATATTAGATATATGGAAGGTTTTTAATTCAATTAAGTCTTATTAAAAAAGGGCAAGCATATAAAAAGAGGGGGAGTGGGTGGCGGTCGAAATTGTCTGGCTAACGTGGGCGGGTCTTTCAATTTTATAAACCATAAATGCTTTGCTCTGTGGCCACAACTCGAGCTCCGCCCACACACAGACGCAGAGCCCTTCAAGAGCCATTGAAACAATTAAAATAATTAAACGGCTGTTGCCAAATGTAAGCCTTGATGTGTCTACCTACAATTAATTTGCTTAACATTTTAATAAACTCGATTTGTGTTGCTTAATTGAATTAATTATTTATCGACTTTAAATTTAGCTTTTCTGCTTTGTTCCATGTTTGGAGGTTTTGAATGTGAAATAACAAATCAGTCAAATCTAAATATGCCTCAGTTCCGGAGCCAAGATATTTGTATGTGCAGCAATGTTGTCTTCCTATACAGATATATAGACATCGTTTTGAGTTCTTGTTGTTGGTTATGCTCGACGCTTTCACGCATTACGTTTGTCTTCAATCGTAAACTTTTAAGTTATATATATATATAATCTGATTTGCCAAGGCAAACTGAAAGGGCTAGGTCGAGTGGCCGAGTGCCTCATACCTTGGGACAGCAACAGAGAATGTCACAAAGATTGCATTTAACAGAATTTTCTAGTGCGCTGCTTTCCCTTCGCTAATGTAATGTTGTGTGCTATAAAAAGCCGAGAGCAACCCTCACCTCACCTTGACATATTAATACGAGTGCTCAGGTGCAATTTAATTGCTGCCAAGATTTACTTGGCGAGACGATTTGGCCCCGCCCCCCCTCGCAGGTATGAGAACGCCCACAAGTACCGTGGGGCGTCCTGTGCTTGTGCGCTTCATGGAGCTGTACGAGCTGCAATGAATTTAGTCAAATTAAGATTTTATTACATTTACTTTGCACTTTCCTTCGTATACAACTATATTTCTCTCTCTCTCTCTCCATGCAGAAACTACTTTTGCGGCCTCAAGTGACTTATCCACAGCATCCGCCACTGCCAAAACTAGCTGCCAGCAACAACAACAAGCAGAACAACAACAAGCATCAGACGAATCAGCTGGCTCGATAACACGAATCTCGTATCGGGGACAGCATCCGCACTTTCATCATCATACAACGCCAGCCTATTATACGGATTTGCAGCTACGCATCCATACGCCAAATGCATCAGATGATGGTGCATTGAATGAGAACTATCAGAGTGTGTACAGTACGCCCAGCACTCAGATAGTTGAACAGCGTTGCTTTCCGGCTCAAGCCAACAATCAAGCAATCAATCAGCGTGCAAAATTTTTTCGACTTGGCGACTCTGTGTCCACAGAGAACAACAGCAACAGCAACAGCAGCAGAAGGCGCCAACGCAACAGCAAAGAACGCTGCGCCAAATCCTTGCCGCCCTCTGTGAACCCTACAAAAGGTGAAACCTACCAAAACCAAATCCAAAACGAAAATCCTATTGCCAGCCGTAGTAGTAGTTGTTGTAGATCACCCGTTGTAGTACAGGCTAGTCCCCAAGTAGGTGTTGCAGGCGCTGCTAACGGTCGCAACAGCCGTCATACACAGCGCTTTCATCAACGCTCTACCAAGCGGGCCGTACGCGTGCGTAGCGAATCACGGCCGATTAGCGCGCTGTACGACATAATATGCAAGGAGAAGGGCCTAGACGTAGGCAACAGCAGCAGCAACAGCGGCAGCAGCAGCAGCAACGAGCAGCAGCAAGAGCAGAAAGACAAACAGCAGGAGCAACCGGAGCAGGAGCAGCAGCAACATCTGCAACAGTTGAACAAAAGCAACACACTGGCGACCTTTTGGCCTTTGCATCATCAATATCACAGACATTCAATGAGCGGCAGCGGCAATCAGCAGCCATCGGATAAGCACCGCCAGCAATTGAACAAGCAGAAGCGCATCATCCGGGTGGTGCCCTCTGATGAGGTATCCACGGATGATGAATCGCCATATGCATTGCACTCTAGTCAAAAGACAACAAATCTGACACAGAGCAAGCCCATAGAGGCCGAGCCCAGCTACCTCAAGCAGGCAGAGCCGGAATTGACACCAACATCGGCGCCTAGCAGTAATGTCGAGCTGCTAAGGAAGCAGTCCGAGCCCGTAAAGAGCCATGGCCTAGTTTCTAAGTTGCCCTACTCAGCGCCTGTCTCGCAGCTGGTGTTGAGCTGCAGCGAGGAGCAGCCAATAAATATGAAAGGTCTATTTGTGGAGCCACCGAAATTATCGTTGCCGGAGCTAAGTCGTTGTGTCAAAAGGGGCAACAGCAAAAAGCAGTTGAAAGACTCTGATGAGGATCAACAAGATCAAAAGGAATTACAAACTCTCAGCTATGAGCCAGGGGAAGTTATTGAAACACTTACACGCTGGCAAGAGGAGCTGTGCTCCAGCATGGAAAAATCGATGCCGCTTTTAAACGGTGCTAAAGATCATAACAGTCATCATCATCATCCTTCTTATCAGCCTGAGCTTCATTATCAACATGATCATAATGAACTGTCCGCATCTCCCGACACACTCGATCACCTGCATTCTGTGACCGTAGACGATCCTCACCAGAACCTGAACCAGACCCAGTCTCAGTCTCAACCACAATCCAATCATCATCATCAGGCGACTAATGCACGCAGGTAAGTGGCTATTTATCTATGTTACACCTATCTATTTATTATCTGTGTGTAGCTCTTAACATGTTATATCTATAGTAAATGCAGTTCTGTCTGTAAATGCTTGATTTATATATATATATATATGTATATATATATCTGATAAAACAAATTGATTAAATATATATCTGATATATATTTAATCAATTTATTTTGATATTATTTGGCTTAGCTTATAGCTGACTTATCGTTCTCTGTTATTAGAGACTTTGCTGTGCTGAGGTGATCTAGAGAATGATTGAAATATCAGCGCAGGATATCTTCTAATTGGGCACTCCCTTCAAGAACACTTACTGGTTTTGAAATGCTTGTTCGAAGTATAATTCCTTTTTGAATTATCTAACTTCACATTAAGTTTCTGAACTTTTCGAACTGCCCTTCTAAATTTGCGTTGATTTTCTTCAAAATGTTTTTATCTTTCTGAATGAAAGAGAAACTACATTTTTATGTGAAACTGTAAACAATTTATTAAATGAACCATTGTCAAATCTTGACTCTCCACTTGATGAGCTTCGGGCATTCCTAATCCTGCACCGCTAAAACAAATCGGATTCAATTGTGGTTACAAATCTTCACGTTGTTCACTGTTTGTTACACAATTCCAAAGCCGGGCCCCCAAAGCAAATCAGTAACAAATATAACAACAGCAACATCAGCTTTGACTCTCTTGTTAACAAATCAAATCTTCATATTGTTAAAACATTTGTTAGTATTAATGCGCTGTTATGTTGTCTGTCCATTGTTTTGTTTTGATTTGATTTGAGGTTGAATGTTGAATGTTGGTAGAGACATCTTTAGCAGTCCAGTCCAGTCCAGTACAGTGCAGTGCAGCAGTTCCATCAATTATAATAAGATAAATCAAAAGCGAATATCGACCCCGACTCCGACCCCGGAACCCGACTTTAGAAAGCACCTGTTGTACGGTCGAGACTTTAAAAATAAAAACTGACAAACTGAAAAACCGGGCGACAAGTTTTCCATAGGCCGTTCATCGGCTTTCGCTACAAAAATGCCTCATAAAAGCGACAACAGAAAAGAGACAAAAATTAAAATACAAAATAGAAAAAGAGTGGAAAATTGTCAAAAAGAAACAACTGAGAGTGCTCTAGTCGGGAGTGCGCGACGGTTAAATACCCTGACCTCTGGAAAAATTCTATTCTATTAAAGCAATGGGAAGAAAATTTCTGGAAAAATACTATTCTATTAATGCAATGAGAAGAAATATTTGTATATATTAATAGACATATATTTAGCTGTTCAAGTCGTCAGTTCTTATATCGTAGTAGCTCTCCGATCGAGCGCTTTTACACACACACATACACAAAAGAAAAGTTGAGTCGACGCGACTGTTCATACTACTTAAGCATATATAAAGCTTAGTCACCACGCCTTTTGCTGCCTCTTACAATATACCCTGCTCTGGCAGGGTATACAAAACAAAATAAAGGAAAAACAAAAAATTAGTGAATTTATTGAAACGGCCTAAGAAAATTTGATCGCGTTCAATTAAATTTGGTTTTTATTGACTATATTGCTTAGAGCATCAGCATCAGCCTCAGCTATCTACTCGAGTAAACGTTTTATGGCCCAGTCGAGATTCAAAGGTGTCGCGTCTTCTATTTGGCTATTGCATCGCGTCGTCTCGTCGTCTCGTCGTCTGGCTGTGTCTTCTAACTAGTCCTGATTTCGCTTTCTGGCTCGGCCGGCACTGCAGCTGCGCAGCCGAAAAGTGGCTAACCGGTTGCTCAGCGGTGCATCACTTTTCCTTTTGTTTTCCCCCAGCGTCCCAAAAAGCTTCGCCTTGACATAGTCAACTAGTTGGAAAGTTCTTTTAGCCATGCAGACAACAGCTGGACTGTCAAATCTTTTGCCTGAATGCCTGCCAGCCAGATGATATATAAAAATTGGAAATTTCCATTTGGCAGATGTCTAAAAGTAATTGAAGCGGCGAGACGTTAATGATGATATGTCTGTCTTCGACCTTCTTAATTGGAATAGCCTTGAGTAGTAAAGATGCTTAACATCTTATAGTTGTTATGTTTGCAGTGAAAAAGGGGTATATAGGTTTTTGTGAAATGCTAAATTTGATGTGTGTCTCCGAGACTCTCACTTGATAATAGGCTAAGACTTTTTGAGCCGGAAAATGTAAAGACAAAATATATGAGATTTTAAAGCTAGAATGAGCCAATCTTATAGATAGATTATTATTGAGCTACTCTATAAAAATTGTAGACTTATTAAAGATTAACAAATTGGGAAATATTTCTTAAACAATTATTCGTTTCTTTTCGTTTTAAGTGCTGGTATTATCAAGTCGGATATAGACTCGAGTGCAACGTTTTTGCAGTACAAAAACTGCAGAAGCATCTTTGGCATTTCAAAACACAAAAACATATTGAATTACAATTCATTTTTAATTGTCTTAGCCCAATTATTTTCAAAGAGATATCCCAGCTCCTTTAGCTCTGCCTGTTTCGCTCTGACATTGAGCTCCCAGCTCGATGAGCTCAGGCCAACAACTTTTTATTGGCTAACCGAGTGGCTTACTGACTCGCGACTTACGACTTACTCGATGAGCGACTGCAATGCATTAAGGAAGTTGTAGTTGCAGTTGTAGACGTAGCAGCCACATGGATATTATTTACATGACAAGCAGACGACATTGAGATACTTTTTTCTTTTTTTTTTTGGCTACCTGCGCATGCCCAGCAGCAGCAGCAGCAGCGACAGCAACAACAGTAAATAACTTGTTGCGCTTTGTTCTTGATGAGATAAAAGATATATGTACAACAGGAACACAACAGCGATATAGCAACACGAATGTTCAGATACGAATGAGAGCAGCCAGCTACCTGGGCAAATTGTATGTGCGAATTTTCGCTCTTTGAGTTTTTGAGTGTTATCTTTTTGAGTTTGAGTTAATTTGTAGCTACGAGTGAGTTTGCTGTTGCGCCTGTGTGTATCTGCAAGATACAAAACTACACAAAACAAGCGGCGGCAAAACCCAAACAGCCAGCAGCCAAAAAAAAAACAACCTCTTGTTATTAGCTTCGCTTACTGGTTGTTGTTGGCTGTTGGTTGTTAGTTGTTGTTGTTATTGCCGTTGTCGTCTCTGCAGCTTGGGTTGGCAGAGTTACTTTCAGTTTGCCCGTCGGCAGTTGTTGAGCGTGTTTGAAGGCGTCTAGCTGTGCCGCATCTAGCGGAACACAACAAAAACTGTTTCTTTCTGTTCATTTCCTTGGCAAATTTTTGGTTAACTTGAGTTATCTGCGATAACTGACACAGTTACATTTGCTTGTAAGCTAAGCCAACACACAGTTTTGCATAATTTTACTGATAATATTTACCTTTCGTTTGCCTGCAGATTCATAACTCGGACACCACGTTCCGGCAGTCGTCAAAGTGCTGGCCACTCGTCGCCGCCACCGCCAGTTGGCTGCTACAGCGATTCATCCAACAGCTCGCCATCGCCCACACGCAGGCACCAACAACACCAGCAATCAACAGGTGCAACAACTGTTGATGTTGCAACTTCAAACGATCCCCAATCATCAACGAATGGCAATAGCTCTGCTTATGAGACAGCCGCTACCTCTGTAATGACAAATGCCAAGCAGTTGCAGTTGCAGTCACAACACATCGAAGTTCCTAAGAGCACGTCGCCAGCGGCTCAGACAAACGCAGCATCCAACATCGTTAATATACGCCCCACAGCCGGCAACTCAGGTGAGTTGAAACACTAAAAAAAAAATCAAACGTATTTGCTTTGTGTTGTTGAGTTTGTGATTTGTCCTTTTGTCTACCTTTCGTTTGTGCTATTGTTTTGTGCCCATTTATTCAGTTGCTTGAACTGTTGAATTTTAACTAGATGTAGATAAAGATATAGATATATTTATATATATATGATGCTTACTCAACTTCCTTTTTAACTAGCTTTTTAAACCATATTTGTTGCCTGAATCATGCGCATTCCGCTCCTAAATCTTTTTAGGCAGGGTATTTTCTCTGTGGTATTCTAACTATTATAGTCTCTTCTCTATACCGTTAAAATCTCTGCTTGCCATCATCTATGCTCACCTAGTAGATCCTGCAATATTAAGTATGATTTTTCAACTCTTAAGCTTGTCTTTCTTCTGCATTTTCGGCTTTAGTTTTTCTGGCTTTCCCACAAAACAATAAACACCATAATTAGCTCCCCTTTGGGCTCCATCAGCCGTAAAGGTGAACTGTCAACATTACTAAAACTGCAAATTAGTCGAAACCTCAAGAGTCGAACACTTGAAAATGTTGCCACATTGCTCTTTTTTTGTTTTTTATTTTTTTGAGCACTTAAAAGTAATTTGAACTAAATTAGATCTTGTATTGCTTGCCAATCAAGCGCAAATCTTTGCAAAGACCTTCAAGAAAATAAAAAATTAGACTTCAATACGTGTCTAAATAAATTATATAAGAAACAATCACAATTTTAAAATAATTATTAATATTATGATGCTTAAAGCCATTTGGCAATATTTTGCATTATCTGCAGATCTAAAGATTTGATTTGGCAATTTTTGCATAGATTATTTCGATACCAGACAAAAAGATAACATTAAATTGCTAAATAGTGAGTGAGACAGGGAGAGAGAGAAAACAAAATATATAATGAGCATACGACACGGCTACGGCTGTATAATATATTTATCAATTCAAACAAAAACAAAAACAACAAACTTTGATTCATTCAAAACTTTTTGCCATCTTCTTTTTTATTATCAATTTGTTAAAGGGTTTCATAAAACATTTTGACAGTCTCTCATAACAACGGCGCTTGAGAAAGTGCCCAAAAAACTTGATTGATTGACAAATTTACATAGTTCGTAAACTTCAGCTGATAACTTCATATGTCATAATGAATGCAGTCCTCAAATTCCCACGAAACGCATAAAAGTTCTTCAAATATCACTGTTTTCCACTTAAATTACTTAGCTTAACCCATTTTCCCTTGCTTTTTATTGATTCGATTTGATTAACAAATTTTGCAACGATATTTTTTATTATATATATCGTGTTTTTATTTTCGGGGCTTGTCTTTTATTATCTGGGCTTATGCGTTATTAATTTCATTTCTTTGTTTGTATTTTTTCACTCTTGCCTCATGTGGTTTCTTCGGGAATCTTTTTGTCTAGGGCAATGTTCGTAGCATAAAGTTTACTGATCTTTGACTGACGGACAACTGGACAATGAACCGAAGCTGCTCAACTTGTTTCTCTCTGACGATTTGGCAAGCTTTTAGAAGATTATTTGACTCAAATGGGCCAACGAGATGGGAGGCTAAAGAGATTTGAGGAGTTCAACTTGCTTATTAAATATTCTCCATTGAAAGTGTTAAAAGATACCTGATATATTAGACTTAAGTACAGCTATAGCAGAGGCAATTTAAGTTTTTTTCTAAATGATCGATAAGATATGATATCGATTAAAATCGATATTAAACTTTAGTTATTTGAGTATGCATTGCTCGATTTGCTAATGGGCTTCACCTAAAGTATACACGACTATGAAATACTTCACTATTTGTATACTTCGACCCATTGCTTGGCGGATAAACCTTTGTCATAAACAATGATCGCCACGATCAAGCAATGATTGCATATTATGCAATTCAAACACACTCTCGCTCTCTCTTTCGCTCTCTCACACACACACACACTCGCACAGACACTGCAAATTACACGTAGCTTTGAAATTGCTTTAATCTGTTCTAAAGATACTCACGCATATCCTTGAAAACATTTATTAATTGTGACGCAGCGATACTCAATACCGTTTCCTCGACAAGCGCCAACAAACGCAGCATTTATTTTACTTGCAACACCAACAACAACAGCAACAACAGCCGCTTTAACAATAACAGTCAGCAGCATCTACAACAGCAGCAGCAGCAGCAGCAACAGCCTTGCCACATTGTTAGTCACGCCACGCCCATGCCACCCCTTGCCACGCCCAGCAGCAAAGCGCCATTGATTGTGCTCAAAGCAACAGCTGTTGCAGCAACAGCGGCAGCATCTGCAACTGCCACTACAACAGCAGCAGCAGCAGCAGCGTCGCCTTCAAAGCGACGTAAAAATTTGCTTTCGCCGCTGCGCATCATTGGCAGTGGCGGTGGTGCAAGCAGCAGCAGCCACAACACGTCTCCGCAGTGTAGCCCACTCTTGAGCAGCTCCTCATCCTCGCCCCAATCCTCGCCAGCGGTGCGCACAACCAAAGCAAGTCGCCTGCGTGCCGCAGCGCTCGGTGAGTTTGTCATTCAGTCATTTGACACCAGATACATCTACACACACTCACACTCACACATCCACACACAGCGACACACGCACACCCTCTCTAGACCTGCTCTCTATTGGTGTTGGTTACCTAGTTGTAGCTTAGATATTGCTCTTCGTTTGTAGACGTTGTTAACCTAATGCTAAAGAATCCTAACTAACTGTCATTTCATGCTGTCTTCCCAACCATTTGTAATCTACACACACTCACACACACATACAGATCGTAAGAAAGAAGAGGACCAGCAGCAGCAGCAGCATCCACGACCACGCTATAGCTCGCCCAGTGCACAGCGTACAAGCTCAACGCCACCTGGAAGACGTTTCAGCAACTCGGAGCTGTCGCCCAAGCGCAGCGTCAGCAGCGGCTTCAACTCGGATACTTCAAGACATACGCCACGATCGGCCTCGCAGCCAGCGGAGCTCATTGAGCGACGTCCGTTGGTGGCCACAGCCAATAATCTTCACATGAAGCAGAACCTGAGCGAGCTGCACTTTACAGGCGGACTTCTAAGTCCGCCCAAGGCCGAGTGCACATTGCACATGCGACCACGAAGCTCGACAATGTGCGCAGACGTTGAGCAAGAGAAGGGAAGCGGAGCCACCATGGACAAGCAACGTGATAATCTGACCAACCTGCAGCTGAGTCCCGTGCAAAAGCACAAGCTAACTGTAAGACTTCTATATATAGAATATATATATTTGGATTCATTTAAAAATCATATTTGCTTTCTTCTCTTTTAGCCGGAAGCCTCACCTTCGCCACGTCGCAGCGGTGATCGCGATAAATCAGCGAAACGTAAATCGAATCTGAATCGCTCATACAACGAGGAAGCCACCAAGGATAGCGGTAAGTGGGCCACCAAGCCAGACCAACGAAGTCAACCAGTGGAGCAGCAGTGTGGCAGAGGCGTGGCTAGCTCATCCAATTTTGGCATCGTTGTCAAGCTTGATTGCCCGCTGGCGATCGTGTAAAAGAAGCTGTTGCATCGTGGCAGCGCTCAGTGCAACGTTCGACGTATCGTGATCATCATGTGGCACGCAACTAGCAAACACATTCAATGCTTGCAACTGCATCAACTCGTATACCACGAAAGCTTCCTGATCGAATCTGTTATGCATACCGGCTGTTTCCAATATGTTAAACTGCTCCCACTGTCCAGTCGCATGTGTTTCTTTCATGTTTCTTGTTGCATTTACGATTTCGGTTCGCTGTGCGTTGCACTAACTGATGTTTCCTTTTTTGGCTTGCAGATGAGTCGTCGTCTATGCGTCGGCGACGACGTCGCGAACTGGGCATGGCTCGTCCACTGATGCCGGGGGATGATGAGTCGCTGCGAGAGCTTCTGCAGCAGCCACAATCACAGCCGAGGAGCTCCTGCAGCGAATCGGCATCCAAATCGGAATCGTTGCGTCTGGCACGCGGCTTAAGCCAAAAGCTAAACGAGCGCACCAAAACGGAGCTGGCCGAGATTAAGAAGATTGCCGAACAGGCGCAGGTGACAACCGGCCAACATGAGTCAGCCCTGCGACGCAGGAGCACGGATGAAGTGGCAGCCTCAACCTCCACACAGAACTCGCCACCTGCACCCAATCAGATTGTTTCCATACTGAAGAAGAAGGAGCACGCATTTGGCGAGTGCAACTCGAGCGCTTCCAGCAATGCATCGCCGGTGACATTCTCGGCCAACGTGCTGGACACTCCGCTGGCGACCAATAGCCGTAGCAAGCGTCAGGGCATACTGAAGAAACGATCGAGCCTCGATGAGTCTCGTTACTACTCTCGCTCCCATTCGCCCGATGAGCGAAGTATTTTGATCAAGTCGGCGCGTCGCAACTCGCTGGAGGAGGCGGGCATCACTCTTAGTTCTGGCCAGGCGCACGGCATCCTCAAGCAGAGCAGCTATGAGAGCACCAAAAGCGATGGCTGTCCATCGGCAAACGAGTCGCAGCCACATAGCATATTGAAGAAGAAAGACTCGCTGTCGACACCCTCGGATGGCGGCTCGCACATTTCGAAGCACGTTTCCATCTCGCAGGCGGTGACATTGGCCGCCGCTGAGCTGGCCGCGCATGATGGTAGCCTCGCTGGCATCGAGGACAGCGAGGAGCACGAGATTCGGCCCATACTCAAACAGGAAAGCACCTCCAGCGAGGAGGCAGCACGACCACCAAAGCCCATACTAAAGAAGAAATCGTTTGGCGAGGCGGACGAGCACGAGATTCGGCCCATACTCAAGAGCAGTCGCAAGAGCAGCCGCGAGGAATTCGATCTTAGTGAGGTGACTCCGGAAGCTAATGATACAATTGCCAATGATTCAAACACTATGCGTCCCATTTTGAAAACGGATTCACCCTCGAAGCGTCGCTCCCTTGGCTCCATGCAGCCTGCTCTGGAGGAGAGCGCAAATAGTTTGCTTAAGCGTCGCACGCGCTCCCTGGAGCGTCAGGATGCGCCGCCTGTCATGAATCTAGCTGCCGCCTTGGATGCCATAACCAACTCGCAGACGCCCGTCGACCTTGTGACAACGCCGTCGAACATCTCGGTGGCTGAACGAATCAAGCATATGGAAATGCTATCGACACCCCCAACATCCAGCACGGCTATCTCAGCTGGTCTGAACACCAGCTGGGAGTCGCCGCTGCAGCAAACAACGCAGTTGCCCGACTGCGGCGCCTCGCCCAAACTGTTGAAGCCCAGTGTTATACGCAGAGATCTCTACAAAGATCGCTTCAAGACGCAGCCCGTGACCAGCGAGGAGAAGAGCTTGTAAGTATGACAAAAGAGTAGAATGTGAATCTGGAATCTCTTAGCATCTCTCGGAATCTTGAGACCAGCTTGAGGAGCTCGCCAAGCGGTTTCTATTGAAGCCTGTCACAAATCGCATTTCACTTTGCTGTTGTCACCTTAAGCGGCTTATTGCTTGCCTAATTACCTGAGTGACCACTGAGGTCAGCTGGGCTGCAGAAAATGTACGTAAAAGGAGAAGGTTGCGATACTTGAGAGGGGCTTGAGTGGTTCGAGTGGCGGAACAGACGTGTCTATGGTGTGCCACTCACAGATTGATAACATTTCAATAAATTGAGAGCAATGTTTTGTGTTTCGTGTGAACGCAGGTTCATGCGCAAATGACCTTGGTAATAGCTATCTTTTGGCAATTAGTATAAACACGCCCAAGAGCTCTCATCACGCCCTTTTTCTGCGAATTCCCTATGTGTCGGCGCCAATGGCACGATCGTAAACCCCGTTTCCAGATAAGTGTACCGCTCGTTACTAACTAGTATTTTCGACTGCTCAAATAGTAGACGCAAGCGGAGACCGAACCGACACCTTCTATTTAACGGGGTTTTCATGTCAGCATTTTATGTGTTGGGGCTTTTTTTCTTTCTTTTACCGGCTGCGTTTGTTCCGTTTGCCACACCCCTCAAGGCGTATCCAGAAATTCTGACGAACAAAAGCTGATATTGGTCATAATATTCAGTGTTCAGTTTTTATATACCCTATCAAAAAGTCTTGCAATGAAGTTGTATGGACTTAGCTGTAGGAAGTGAATCTATAATATATATATATAATACATATATATATCTATAATATATATAATATATATATCTATAATATTTTAAAAAAAAATTATTTGGGGTTAGATCAAGGCAATGACGACTATAGGTTTAGAGTAATATTTCAGTTTAATATTTATCAATTCTATTTTATAAATTAAAAAAAAAAATTTCATACAAAAGTTTCGTACCTTCCAAACTGTTGAAGCTAGATTTTCAAATTGTACAACTTCCTCTTAAAATTTAGTGGTTTGAACGAGTATTATGCAGTGCATAATACTTCACAATTTCATTTGTCAAGCCACATACTATTTATGCCCAAATCAAGTCTCATTTATCCATACAGCCTCGAGCTCAGCTAGCTGTTAGAGTATTCAAGCTACGTCAACCATAAGAAAACTTCTTCTTTTTACTACTCTTTACCCTCCATAATATATTTTATATATGTCAGTTATCATGAATCAGCATATATACTTATATATATTCATATATCTATATATTCAAGTTTTACTATCTAGAGTATTCCAGCTTCGTCAATCATAAGAAAAAAGAGTCTCTTTTGTTACTACGCTTCGTAGTCTTCCACATTTGCATGTGCCGATCCGATTCGATGTATTGTCTATAGCTTTTGGCGACTGCCATTGTGATGCGAAATTTATGCCAGCCATATTTGCAATGCCTCCTGTAAAGGGGGTGCGGGGTGTGTCTTATGGGGATTCTCAAGGCCCGTCTTTAGTTTTTTAGAATTGTGAACGTGTCGCTTGGAACGTTGCATTCAGTTGGCTGTCGCATACGAAAGCGTCCACAGATATTTGCAACTTGGTTCGGTTAGTGATTGCTAAGGGTTGAGCGCTCTTCCTCTTCTCATGTTGTTTCAGCGGCGAAGCAGCGAAAGAATGTTTGAGGCGTATATCAGAAAACGGTAAATAGAAATAATAGAGAAATAGAAAAAGAACTGGAATTGGAAATGGCAATTGGCAAGCCATAAAAATTCAACGACTCTACGATAAGTGTTATACAAAAGGTGTGACGCGTTTTAATGGCCAACACTAGCTGGAATTGGCCAGATAACGTGTACGATGTCAAGGACCGTAGTAAATGTGTACCATATAGTAAATAGTACCAGTATTGTCTAATAGTTACGAAACTAAATAACTGATTGAAAACGATTAGATTATTGAATTGGCTTTGGTTGAGTACTTTGATATTTTTGGTGATTAAACTTCTGTAAAACCAATTTTTTATTGAGTTAAACCATTTGGGAATTACTAATGCAAAATTGAATCAAATTAACGACGGATCCCCAGTTTTCTGTAAATTTGTGACAATCTCTGCTCTTCTCTTACTAAAGAGAAAAGTGCGAGAATCCCAATGAAAACTTTACCTACAACAAAAACATTTTAAAATTGTGGAAAATAGAGAGAAAAGTAGCGTACGAAAATAAATGTGCGTGTGTGTGTGTGTTTGTTTGTTTGTTTGTATATGTGTATGTATGCAGACCATGGGCAATAAAAAGAAAACAAAGCTGAAAATAATTTAAATTTTGCTGTGGCCGCTACGGCAGAGCCGTCAACGCCGACGTCGACTGCAGCTGCGACTGCGACTGGGGCAGAGGCGCCGTTGATCGTCGGCTTCGCTTTGCCCACTTTGTTTTTACAAATTTTGCGCTCAGTTGCTCGCGATCGCCTTTTCAATTTTCAACGGGGCCGCTCCGGCTAAAAATTTGTTTTTCATTTCGGGAAAATCTATTTGAAATGTATGTGTGTGCGTGTGTGTGTGCCAAGTGTTTGCCTTTACAATACATAAAGAGAATAAATAAATAGTAAATCGTTATAACAAAAAAAGCCAACTGATAAAAAATATCAAATCTATCGGCTCTTGGTTCTTATCAGCCGTCGCATAGGTAAAAGAAACTCACCAAATCTATCAGTTTCCAAGCACCGGTCTCTCGAAGCTGTCGCCAGTTGCTTTAGACACCGGTTATCGGGCGGTAGTACCCATAGACAGACAGACAGAGAGAGAGAGGTAGAGATAGAGAGAGGAAGTCGCTTCTCACCTGCTAAAAAGCGCGTGTTAATCGTTGCCATCGGTAGTTATTACATATAACCAAATGGAAAAGCTTTAGCACAAAACATTTCGTAATGTTCTAAAAATAAATCCATGGAAATTGTGCACTCAAATGGAAATATATATAAATTCCCCCACGAAATAATACAAAAATAAATCAACAAATTTTCGTGAAATTTGCACATCCAAAAAAACATTTCAAAATTATTTTTCCAATTTTTAGTGAACTACCAAAGTGCAAAATTGAACAATATTATTGGGTCAGAGACTGAAAAGTGTGGTTAACAGTGGTTCTAGTATTAGTCGAAAATTAGTGAAATATCAGTTTGTTCTATATATGTGTGTGTGCTCTATATATGTGTGCAAAATATATATATGCAAAAAAGATCGATATATATCTAAATATCGTCGACAGCTGTTTGGCTTTTATCACATTTGTTTTTTATTAGGCATCTTTTCTTTGCTCTCTTTAGAATAAGCTCTCTTTTTCTCTCTTTGCCCACTGTTCAAATCCAATTAGTATATTTCTTTTTTAGGTTTATTATACTTTGTTTATTTATAGTTCGTTCGGGTTTTTCTCCTGTAAAAAATGCGGCTAATGTTTTGTTTAGTAGCTAAACTGAAAGCAGCATATATCGGGGCTGAAAAGCTGAACAAGTTGCCAATGAGCTGCTTAATTTAGCTGTATAATTTGAATTACACTCTCATCCTGATCCGAGTATGATCTTCTTTCTGACTAAGCTATAATGGTGCATAAACACAGTCATTTCGCTTTCAGCTAAAAAAAACTTTGCAGCTAATTATTGCAGTAAATTGGCTCAGCTCAACTTTTACCTGAGGGTTGTCAATCAAATTTCACCATAAAATAAAAAACGTGCGTAATTAGCGTAGGGAAAAATTAGTTTGTCTATAATTATGATTGCCCCTAATTGCGCATTGTTCAAAGATCTCAGATAGATAGAGAGAGAGAGAGAGAGTTAGAGCGACAGATAGAGAGAGAGAGAGGGAGTTAGAGTTGGAGCTAGAAAAAGAGCAACTTTGAGAGACAAAGAAAGAAATATAGAAATAAAGAAGACCGTAAGAGATAGAGTGCGAAGATAGAAATATGATAGAGAGATGATAGAGAGATGATATAGAAAAGATTGAGAGATGATAGAGAGATGATAGAGAGATGTAGAGAGATGATAGAGAGATGGTAGAGAGATGATAGAGAGATGATAGAGAGATGATAGAGAGATGATAGAGAGATGATATAGAGATGATAGAGAGGTGCTAGAGAGGTGCTAGAGAGGTGCTAGAGAGGTGCTAGAGAGATTACAGAGAGATGATAGACAGATGGTAGAGAAAGAGAAAGAGGAGGGATAGAGAATAATGAGAGATAGAGAGAAAGCAGAGAGTTAAGATATAGAAGAAAATAGGCATAGAGAGAAAGAAGGATAAGAGAGATATAAATGAATTAAGAGATTGTCACATGAAGAGCCACAAGATAGTGAGCGGCAGCGAGAAAATGAGAGGAGAGAGAATCGTGGAAATGAAGGTTTTGATACAAAGATATACGGGACGTGGCGAACCCAAAGACTTCTAATATATTCTTTTGATTGTTATAAATTTGATAATAAATTTCTATTAAATATAATCCCTCAATTCATACTCGTTGACTTGCAGCTTTAAAGCAAACACCACGCCATTTGACATCTCGGCAACGTCGGCTTTTAAGCCCACGAAACCATTGGAAATCCATCAGCACAAGCTACATCAACAGCAGAGTCAGCCGTTAATCTCGCCCATCACTGGACAACCGCTGAGCCACGTGCCAGCACCGCTGCTGCTCTCCTCATCGACCCACTCGACGGCCGGCAATTCTTTCGGCTTGGCACGTAGCTCCACGCAGCCACGACTGCATCAGCGTACAGTCGCAGGTACTCCGGCACCGACACCGGTCAACTCCTCGCTCAGCTTGATCCAGCAGCATTCGGTCAGCGACAGCATCAACGCCAGCATAAGCGAACAGCTGACATTATCTGTGGGCAACAACGACTCTGAGCACGTCTTTGAGATGTCCGGCATAGACAATGACTCGGCCATACAGTCGCTGAGCGAAGACACCTCCACGACCACCCAGTCGAGCGTTGGAGTGGGCGTGACTCGCAGCAACAGTGTCCGTGCTCGAGCCAGTATGTTCCAGCAGCTGCAGGAGCAATCGCGCAGCCGAAGGGAGGCGGCCGGTAAAGAGCCGTTGGCATCGCAGTCGCGCTCATTGGCCAGCAGTCAAGGTGAGTACAACTGCAACAACAACAGCAACAACTACAACTACAACAGCGCAGACAGTCCACAAATATCATCAACAAAACAGAAATTAGCATTAGCCCATTAACAGTGAAAGAGTGGAGAGGCACAGTTGACAGGGGGGAACCAACTGCGAACTTTATTCGCCATTGGAGCAGCGATGCGTAAAGCAACAAAAACAACAATAACAAAAGACAGTTACGTTTAATACGAGTTCGTAGTAGCAGCTACTAGAGTTGATGTGGTTCAGTGTGAACAGGTTAAAAGAACCGGTTCTAGAGCCCAGCTTAAAGCGTTAGAAAGTAGCGAATTCTAAACATTTTTTTGCACATTTATTTTATTTAGAAATTATACCATTTCTAATTGCACCTGAGCAGGTGACTTACCTCGAGTAAATCTGTAAATTGAATTAACAGCTGGGCTGTAATCTAAACTACTTGTGTTTTAGTTAGTCTCAGATGCTTAAAATCTGGATCTCGTGACTGAATTCAGTTCAATGGAATCACTCCCCTGAACTCCATTGAGTACTATTAATAAGGAACAGTCCGGATATATAGGTGACTAATGATCGTCGAATGGCATCAGATAGTTTATATAAGATACTCCTTAATATGTATCAAATCAACTTACTCAGTTGAACCAGTTCACTTTCTTGAACTAGTCATTGCGTTATATATATATATACATAAACAAAATATTCTTTGTATAAGCTTCACAGTGTTTGATATGGCAATGGGTTTCGGTCTGGTCAGCACGCCGATTCAGTGAACGCTCTATGGGCGACACTTCATAGACAACATATATATATATATTTATGTATTTTGCAAGCGTGTTGTAGTGGCAATTCCATTGTGGCCGGCATGGTTGTTGTCCAAGTTAATAAGCTGTAAAATGTGTGTCACTTGCTCAACATTCACCTGCTCTCCGTTCCCCACACCTTTCCACTGCACACACACTAGTCTGGCAATCAGTCACTAATTGAGGTTTGGGTAACAAAAGCGAAGGGAAAAGGGTAGAGAGCAGCAGCAGGCTTGATAAGTTTCAGTCTCAGTAAACATAACTCTTATGTTTACAATATCATTTGAAGAGTGCTTTGAGTGTTGTGTCGAAAATTACAATAATATAATATGAAAATATGGAGTCAATTCATAGTACACAAGTCAGTTTTAAAAAAAATTTACAGTTCCAAGTTGTGATCAATGTATTAATGAAATTAGATTGTAAAGAATGTAAGTGCGTACGAGATGGCAAGAGCGTAGCTTCATATAATGTTAAATTTTAATGAAATGAATGCTAATCCACTATTTCTCTCCTTGTCTCTCTCTTCTGCCCCAGCAACTTTTCAACAATCGCCGCCGCCGCCGCCGATGGCAGCAACCGAAGCTGCTGTTGCTAGCTCGCACAATTCTTTTAGCGACGAGGCGCCGAGTACACCAAATACAACACAGGATACTACCGATGCTGACTTCGGTAAGTACCAGCAGCGCACGCACACACACAAAGTGGGAGAGCAAAGCGAACAGCACAGCAAAAGCTGAGAGCGGAGAGCCATTCATTGCATGCGCTCGCACTCTGTCTTACGCTCTAACTGCTGCTGTTCCTGACTCTCTCGCTCGTTTAGTACATGTTTACGTTTCATTTGTGCTCTCTTTTGTTTTGCGTTCCTGCAGTGCAATTTGCCAATAACAAATAAATGCATATTGAATGTTGTTCTTGTTGTTGTGACTCTCTTTAAGTGTAAGTTAAATATTTGTTGATGTTGTTGCCATTTCTTTCATTTCATATGCGTTTAACTAATTGCATTTTGCCCTGCTCCAATCAATTGGCAGTGAGGACTTTAAAAAAAATATCGCCATAAAAAGTGAATTGAACAACAGCAAGACTCAAGAAAAAACATATTTATAATTATATTCTTGGCATGCATTTTGAATTTTTATGTTTATCTAACAAAATATTTAACACTAGATAGCTGTTGCTGCTGCTGTTGTTGTTGTTGTTGTTGTTGTTGTTGCCGCATGACGCATGCAACAAATAATAAAATTCATACACATTTCTTTTTACACATTTTTTATGTAATTAATTATACGCCACGTGAGCTTCGATTTTCATTTTGATATTCAACTGCATTTACTACTTTTTTCCTTTGGATTTAAAATTTTTCAATTGCATAGATTATTCGTTAGCTTTTAGTTAATTTAATTAAGCGTTCATAATTGCATAGCTGATTTTATTTACCCAGTTTTGGATGAGTTGTGCTTCCTCTTTATATATTTTTGACATAGCTGTGTCAGTGTGTCTATGGTATATATATAAATAGGTAGCCTGCGTGAGTGTGTTATGTACTTGGTATATTGTGCGAATGTGTTATACTGGAGCATAACTAACTGATATACTGAGTGTGAATATATTATACCACGTGTATACTATGCGTTAATGTGTTATACTTGAGCATGAGTAACTGGTATACTGGTGTGAGTGTGTTATACGTCAACCATATGCCATATGTAAATGGTATACTTATTTGGCGTGAATCTGTTATTCTACTCACTAGTAGACTGCGTGAGTGTTCTACTATATCATTTCCGTAGAAATACCCTTTTCACAAGAATTGCCATTATATAACTATTTTGGATAGTAATGTCCCTCGCAGCAGTAGCACAGTCATTGACCTGAAACATTATTAGCTCGTTCCTCATGCCAATTCATCGACTAATTCTGTGGTTATTTGTTGCTATTATTTGAATGCGACTCACTCGCCGCTAAGTAAGATTTTCAGTCTCGGAATTTCTGGTTAGTTAGGCTAACAAAGCGCACAAAGGGAAAGAAGAAAATCGAAAGCTGCGCTGAAAATGAAAACCAAAACGAAAACGAAAACGAAAAGCAGCATTTGACAGAGGCAGAATAAAGAAAGAATCAGCTAGGCGACACAAAAGGCAAACACATGACATATCATCAACCAGACAAACACAAATAAAAATTACAAAAAAAATATATATATAAATTTCCATACAAATTGTATACAAAAAAAAGAAAAAAAAAAAAAAAGAAAAAAGTCACCAATGCTAACTTTCTAAGGGGCCAGGCAATAGCTGATGAAGAAACCAGAGCAAATCAGAGATTCCACTTGAGAGGCTGTGGTCAGTGTTTAGCGGTCGATAAAAGCGTACGAACGTACAACGACAAATGCTTATCGCGCAACTAAAACAGCAACAGCAACAGCAACAGCAACAACAACAACAAAAGCAACAGCAACAAGTGATAAAAACCCGCAGCGCAGTTCGGCAACAACTTTTGTCGCCAGCTGACACTTGTCGCAGCAGCAAGAACAACGAAGAGCAGCAGCAGTAAATCTATATAGCATATATCCTTAAAAACAAGTCCAATAAGAGAGTACAATGATGCGTAAGTCAAGTGCCACGCCCAATGTCCTTAGAGCGAACGTACGAACAATGCTTGACCAACTCCTTCCACAGAACCATCATCGTTGTCGCTGGCCGAACGCCTCGCCTTCTTTAGCAGCCTGTGCGAGAGCGCTGCCTGCGGCAGTGGTGGTGCCACTGCTGCCAGTGGTGGCGCTCGCCTCTCCAGTCGCCCCAACAGCAGTTGCAACTCACGCAGCCCGCCCATGGATCATCTGCAACGCAGCAGCACTGTAAGCAGCAGTGAATGCGTAACGCCCACACCCATGGAATGCTCGCCTATCATCAATGAGCTCAAACAGGAGCAGCAACAAACGGGGCCACAGCAGCAGGAGCAGCCACAGCAGCAGCAGGAGCAGCAAATGGAGCAGGAGCTGGAGCGTACGCACAACGGCTTCCATCAGTTGAGTCGTTCTGCCACCGCGCCCAATCCCTCCTCCGCAGCGTCTGTGTTAACAACTAAACCAAAAACAACAACAGCGACGACGCCATTGCTAAATGATGTGCCGCCGGCAACGCGCCGTGTGCGGGTGCGCACTGTGGGCAAATTGGTGCTGCCGGCCACGTTCCTCAGTGATCGAAGCAACAAGGGCAACAATAGCAGCTATCGCAGCAGCTGCATCGGACGATTGCAAACTTTGGAGGACACACACATATCGATGGGTGTGCGTACCATAGGCAAGATCAAATCCCCCTTCATCGAGCAGCAGCACCAACAGCAGCAAGAACAGCCGCAGCAGCAGAGCAAAGCAGCGAAAATGGAACAACAAAAGTACAGCAATGGGGCCAGCGACAGCGGCTCAGACTCTGGCAAAGAGAATCAGGCGTCCAATCAACAGAAGCCGCCGCCAGAGGAACAGCTAAAGCAACAGCAGCAGCAGCAGCAGCAGCAGCAGCAACCGCTTGAGTTGCATCAGAAGCTGTCTCACTTCTCGCAGATCACCGTGCAACAGGTGGCGCCGCAGCAAAACATCAATCGCCGCCATACCACAGAGCTGTCCGGCAGTCCAGTTGCCACCGTTTGCATGGCCAGCAATGCAGCGCTGAAACGCTCAAAGGTAAACGAACGCTATGCCAAATACTTTGGCCTGAACGAGAGCGACAAATCGACAAAGACGCGGCTCAAGGCGGAGGCGCTCAACGAGCATGTGCGTCTGCCAGCTGCCCAGAGCAACGGCAGCAGCAACACTAGCAGCAGGGGCAACAGCAACAGCAGCATCAACAGCAGCATCAGCGACAGCAACAGCAACAGCAGCAACTCCAGCGCGGTGCAGCGACGTCGCGAGCAGCTGAAGCGAACACGCGCCATGTCCATGGAGACATCGGTGAGCGATGGCGGCTCGATTAGTCCAACGGCGATGCCGAGTGCGAAGCGAGCCCATTCGCCCGCCAACAGTTGCAGCCGGATTGCCAGCTATGAGGACATCGTGATTACGCAGGACGAGCTGCATGCGGCTGGTCAGGAATTTAGACGACTGTGTGGCGAGATTTTGGGCACATGAAAAATTGTAAATTTTTTGGCTAAACTACATAAAATTTCACAAATTTTTCGATATGTGTTTTCCCAGTGCCCTGGGAAAGCAGCATGAAAATTTCACTTACGTTTGGCATTTTCTTTCAAATTATTGCGCTCTTCGGATGCAGCGTGAGCGTTTCTCTTCTCCTTTTGGAAAAAAAGAATGTGCTCAATGTGATTTCTGTAGCTGATATTGGTAGATGCGCTCCCGCTCTCTTGCTCCACACCTGAAACGAATCGAATTATCAAATCCATAAATAAAAACAAAATAAAGCATTTCCACAAAACGAAACGATAACTAAATAGTTGTATTCAGATATATTATTATTTCCAGTTGAATCAAGTTATAATAGCTTATACATAGAGAGAGGCAAAGAGATATTTAAGCCAGGGTCGGAGCACTTCCAGTAATAAACAGTTATTAATTATGTTAATTATATATATACCTATATATCTATATACATATTCCATTCGATATAGTGTGCAACTACTTGTGTGTGCTTATTTATGCGTTTTTTATTAATTATTTAAATATAAACGAATTGTACCTTAAACGGCATTAATTACATACATATTTAACTATATTTAATTGTATTATTTATGCAAATTGTTAATGAGTAAATAAATGAAACAGTTGCGTAAAGATCATGTGAGCAATCACTTGGAACTCCATTTGGCTGAGTAAGTACTTAAGCACGCCTCTCTATGCACTTCTCATGGCTGCATGAACCTATGTTTCGAGCATGCAGTTGACTATTTTTGCCTGAACTTTGATTTAGACATTGCTTGAAATGCTTTTTAGTATTGTATATATATTTGTATATGCGAGGGTAGCTTGAAAAGTATTTGACTTATCAGCAAATCAGCCTCGGTCCATCCTTGCATTTATATAAAAACTCTAATTTACTTCTCCTCCTGCAGCTAAGCCCGCTGATGCTCCCAAGAGCATATTGAAGTGTGGCAAACCCTTGGGCATGGGCCTGCTCATGGGTCGCGGCCGCATGCCCATTGATCTGAATGCCGAGCTAAAGAATCGCCTGCAGCGCTCCACTCATGCCACCGTTTCGAATCTGCGCAAGTCGGCGACGACGGCGAATGCGACGCGCGATGAGACGGACCATGCGGCTGCAGCGAATCCTCAACGCAATTTGGCCCAAATACTGCGCAATGTGTCCAAGGAGAATGCCACGCCCACGTCGACGCATCACGACGATGCCGTTAATCTGGTGCGCAATCTGACGTCCATAGGCGCGCCGCGTCTTAGCGCCGACTCAGCTGCGGGCAGCAACAACTGCGCGTCGGCATCCGAGGGCGAAAGCTCCGGCGGACGTGAGATCGATGCGATAATCAAGAATAGCGCCGTGGCTAGAAGGCGACGACAGCAGCAGCTGCAGCAACAGCAGCAGCAGCAGCAGCCAGATGGGTGAGTCCTTGTCCAAGCTGGAGTGTTTTTGCCCTGTGCCGTGCGCTGTTAATGTATTAACCGTTATGCTATACATGTGTATTACACACACACACACACACACAGAGTGTCATGCTTGCATCAGTGTGTGCGCTGTTAACCGTTAGCTACTAACCTACTTGATAAGCAGCCATAATATACATATGTATGTGCACATATATTCACACACACACAGACACAGACAGTGTTATACTTGCATTAGTGTGCGCGTGTGTGTGTGCATCTCAAGACTGGTTCCACGTATGCAAAATTTATACATACAGAGTTAAAAACAAACGAAATACGTTTTACACCTAAGCAACATATTTAGTACGTACAAGCTGCTCGACTGTAGTATACCCTGTAATTGGACGCGTAAAGTTCTAACTTCGGTTCATGTTTCCATATTACAACATAACTTTTTCTATTCTGTCTGTGTTAAGCAATAACTTTTCTATACTGATAAAAGAACAATTATTTCAATGCAAAGAAACAATAAACGTTTCCTTGACAAAGTGAAGCCAATTGCTAGATGTTATTATTGGCGACCAGTGCAGCCACCGCAACAGACACAACAACAACAACGGCAACAATATAAAAGTCAACTGCAAGTGCTGTACCAACAACAACAACAACAACAACCACAGCAAACTTTGTTCAACAAAAACTAAAGCGATACAAAATATATATACAAAAAAAAAAGAATTGTTTATCGACTAGTCAATAAGTGCAATTTGCATTGCTTACTAAATAATATACAACATGAACAAAATATCTATATTTATTTATGGAAAAACTTCTTAAATAAGTAAAAAAAACTACATTTGCCACATATTTTTTGCGTGACACTGAAATAATAAATATTAATAATAAAGTTGACAAAAATCCCAATTAACTGTAGTTTTGTTTACAACTAATCCTGCTGTATTAATCTGCATGCTCGTTAAAGCTTAAATTAAAATTTGAAAAGCGCGCGCTCTAAGTGTAAGTGGCATCACTTGCAAAACGACGCTGTGGCAGCGCTGCTTATGTTAACTATGCGCATGCCTGAACGTTCATTACATTTTGTATTCCACTTTAAAAAGCGCGCGCACAAAAATCAGCTGACAACGCTTACAGATGTTTCAGGTCTGCTAATGTTAAATTAACATACAACATGCTTGCATGCTCATGGTTATTCGCAGTGCTCAGCGGTCAGCGATTAGTGTTAGTTTACAGAAGCGCTGTTGCAACCCTGGTTATATTAAGCTAACATATTGGTTTGAGCACACACTTAACATAATTGCTCCTCCCTTACATGAGGTAGTTTATCAGCTGTACCAGTTTGAGAGCCATTGTGCATTGTTGAATCTTGACTTTCGGTTTTTAAAATACATAAATAAATACATATCCGAAACGATTACTTTATGTTCAACACCTGCCCCTAGTTAAGCCGTTGCATACAATTAAGGTATAATTTTTGCAGTAATTGTTGCTCTGTTCAAATAAAGAAACATTTTAATCTTCGTATGCTACTTCGCCGCAGTAAACAGTCGAATTCGCCGGGCGAATGTTATATTCCTGCTTCTCTACATTTGTAACAGCAGAGCTGCAGATTGTTAACATTGCATTAGCTAGTAGTTTCGTTTCTGCATTCGGCGAGGGTGGACGTGTTGCGGACAGCGCTTGATTTTTCCTGTGTTTCTTTTCGATTCGCGCGCATTTTGTGCCGGTCGCAAATTGCAATTGAATAATGCACTTTTAATACTGTTCGCGTGTGTATGTGAGTGTTTGACTTTGTTACTTGTGTATGCCAAAGGCGAGTGCATAACTAAAAAGAACAGCAACAGCATAAAAAATAAGAAAAACTGAAAAACTGCAAGCGTCACCATTGTCAGCTGCATTGTCGCTTTTTGTGATCAGTTCTCAATTTAATTGCATCCAATAATTGGCTTCAATTGAAAGTGCAAGTTAAAATGGCAGCAAGAGCAACAACGTCTTTGGCTTAATACAAAAAATCGTGAGAGAAGCTTGTGGGCTGCATCGCTATAAACAAAGGTTTGTAACTCCAGCTCAGAGCAAGGAAATCTTCGGGTAGTTTTTATGACTTGATAGAGCGGGATGCAGAACGCAACAGGGAAAGTGCGACAGAGAGAGGGACTGAGCGCAAATACGATACGATTTGAAGCTGACCAGTTTTGCACAGACTGTTTGTCGCGTCCCCTTTTGCGCCCTTCTGTGTTACCTGCTGCAACGAGCTACACACAGCGAGCAGCTACAGCAACAAAGATGATAAAAACAAAATACAAGTAAAAAATAACCCAAAACTGTAAATCGCCTTGTTCGCTTCCATTGAAATATTTGCTGATTCAGCAGCAGCAGCAGCAGCAGCAGCAGCAGCAGCAGCAGCAGCGGCGCAGATTTTGTTGTTGTTTTAATATTCTTGTTGTTTTACTTATTTTTTTTTGTTGCTGTCGCTTTTTGTCTCTTGTTTGTTGCTGTTTATTTGCACTTGGACATTTGAGGTCTATTGCTCTTCACGTATTTAGCTTATTTTTTTCTGCTCTTCATGGCGGCGTCGCCTGCACCTAGTTAGTTGCAGCTTTATACTCTGCAACATAGGCAGACGGCAGGGTATGTTAAGCATAGAGTGACGTGAACAATAGTGCTTGAACAGTGTTGGTTGCATTGGAAGACAATTTTATCTAGAGACAATTTCAATGCTTTCCTATTAATAACAACAGCCGTGTCCATTCATCTAAGGCATTTTCATTGTTTTTAAATATATGCACATATATACGATTACTTTCTACAGTCATGTTCATTCATCTGTAGGCATTAAATATTTATTTTTAAATATTTAACTACGAGCAACAGTCGTCTACATTCATCTAGACACATTTCATATATTATATCAGTATATATATCCATTATTTCTGATTATTCTCTACACTCATGGCCATATACCTAGATTCAATTCATTAAATATAACTTTTATATTTTTGCTCACAAGCGACATCAATATATATTATTTAGAAACATTTTCAGACATTACCCTTTTATTTCTATATATCCAATTGCGATCTACAGTCATGTTCATTTATCTAGTAACGTTTTTAATGCATATTGTTTTCATAATTTCTATCAACAGTTATGACTATTCATCTAAAGACATTGATTGTTTATATATAATCTATAATATAAAATATAATATATTGTTTATATATATTTCTCAATATGCACATATATATCTACAGTCATGTCTATTCATTTAGGCACATATTTAAAGCTATTTAAAATATATAGATTATCTGTATCCATCTGTCTCTCAGGTTCTATAGCCTTCCATAGCTAACTCTTTCTCCACTCTCTACGTACATATCACCTCCTCTGGCTCTACTCCACTGTTCAATTATATATATATATATATATAGGTCTTAATATTTTTTAGCTCAAGGTCTGAAATGTTAAGCTCCGATATTAAACTCTAATCAATCACGCTCCCTCATTATATTTGCACACAACAATTTATTTTATTGAACAAACAATTCGAATTGGCATAGCTCCTTATCGGACCTATTTCAGACCGTATGTTCGGAGTATTTCGTAATATTTTCTTGTTTCGACCTGCCTTCGGGCAATTAAGTAGACAAAAGTAAAACCAAAACCCGAAATTCAAGTGGAGACCGCAAAAAGATGCCTTTTCGCTTTTACAATGAATTTGCATAATTTTTGGTGGCAAAGAGCGAAAGAAAAAGAAGTTCAAAATGTTGGGTATGCCAGACTCTGCTTTGATTTATGGCATACAGCCGCAGATGGTATATAGTATTAGATAAGTTGTCGATCCATAAATAGACAATAAATTACGCCTATCTCTGGCTTGGCTTGCCTGATAATCGAAAGTAGTTTCAAGTGGCAATTGGTAAGTCGTCGCAGATAACTCTCTATATATATGCGACTTAAGGGTAAACATTTATAGACATGCATGTGCATATATTTACCTTTTATATATAAGTCTATGTATGTGCACGTTCGCAGGAAAAACGTGAACCTCAATGCTAATGAATCAGGTCTACAAAAAGCAATAGAAATAGGAAAACACTCAACAAGCTAATCAGCTGCGACGAGACTAAAGACTGCATGTGTGTGCACATACGTGGCATAGGCACATACATACGTATATATATACAAATATATATATCTAAAATTTTCTAAAATTCATATGTTATCTACAGCTGTTTGTCTGTTAGAATCGCAAGAGCTCGCATGAAGTCAGCTTAAGGCTGAGACAAATTGATGTCAATGCTGTATGGAAGTGTATAATATTTGATATATGACATATATATATATATATGTATATATATAATAGTCATGCATATATACGCACATATATCAATGTATATTAACTGCAGCTGTTTGCCTGTTTCAAATACCTCAGAGCTGATTGATGTCTGTTAAAGAGTATGCTACGTTCGTTGTCTTCACACTTAAGTTCCACTGTTTGCTGCTCTACTGGGTCGAACACATCTATATACACATGCACGTACAGAGTCGTGGATCTGTGACCTCGCTGGCTCTCATAATTGAATTCATCGCCCCACTGATCGCACGCCATTGGGATAAATCTCCATACGTTGTTGATGAATTATCAACGCTTTTAGTCGTCGGGCATGCGCTCGTGGCCTATGATCTATCGATCCAAGCGATGCCATTAATGGTAAGAGATGCAGGCAAACTGGGAAACTGAGAAAACTGAAGTTTTCTGAAGGCAACAGGCCATAAATTATGTGTGTGTCTGCCCCCTTCCCTCTTCCAACCAAATCAGATGCATTCGAGCATTAAGTTCTCTGGATAGCTATAAATACGATTTTTTGTTTTTCTTTTCTTGTATATCTTGATCGAAACGAATGGAGTTGTTGTGCCTCAGCATTCAAATCAATTAAAGTCGAGTTCGAACTTGGGTTTTATTTCTATTTGGTCTTCCTCTGGAAGGTGGAGGAGGA